CTACATAGAAGTAGGGCTGTGCAAATAATCGAATGCGATTTTCATGCGCATCTCATCAGTAAAGCTGGTTCTGTGATCAGTAGTAAATCTCCAGCACAAAGTGCCGGATTCGCAGGTGATTCATTGCCGATTATGAACGCTATATTGCATAGCTTGTCAGTGATCTACGGCTCTGTGTAGTAAATGCCGCTCAATCTGAAAGCACGTGCTGGAGATTTACTACTGATCACAGAACCGGCTTTACTGACGAGATGCGCATGAAAATCGCATTCGATTATTTGCACAGCCCTACATAGAAGTGTTATTATAGTTAACTAAAACTAAAACAAACAAACAAATAAATAAACATTAACTGAAATAAAATACATAAAAAAAAAACTTAAACTTATTTTATTCTAGTTGCCAAAGAAACATTACTCATTTTCTAACTGATGAACTAAAATAAAAATTAATAAAAACTATACAGACATATTAAAAAAAAGAAAGAAAGAAAAGACAAAAACACACAACAAAATTCCTAAATCTTTAACTAAATTTAAAATGAAAACAGAAAATAATAAAAACTAATTTAAACTATTAATAAAAAGTACAATAGTATCTCAATGATACTTAAGTAGCACAGCTAAATAGAATATCAAACACATTTCAAACGCGCAAGAAAAATCCCACAATATGAGCTTTAATCCTATAGTAAAATAATCAATTTCAGCGATAGTAACGGTGCAGGGACAGGACGGGTGGGGTGGATGTACGCTCTGTGCCGGCGCTTCTGGGAACATCAGCGGTAATTAAAGAGTCGTTAAACAACCATTAGGCCAGCAGTTTAATTACTGCTGTTAGCTCCATGACAACAGCTCAATGATTGGCGGAGAGGCAGAGCGAGTCGCTACACTGACCTCCTTCCTGTGTGACATCACACACAAGCACAAAAGGAAAGAGACGCTCAATTAAACCTTTAACAAAGGCACCAGCCTTATTTCCAAAGGTTAAACTGGAATAAGAATATACTACATGCCTACTTTAAAAAATAATTACGTTTAAATCATTTTTATATAATAAAGTTCAGTAGTTTTAAAGGGGTCATATGATGTTGCTAAAAAAAGAACATTATTTTGTGTATTTGGTGTAATGAAATGTGTTTATGCGGTTTAAGGTTCAAAAAACATTATTTTCCACATACTGTACATTATTGTTTCTCCTCTATGCCCCGCCTTTCTGAAACGCGACGATTTTTACAAAGCTCATCGTTCTGAAAAGCGAGGTGTGCTCTGATTGGCCAGCTATCCAGTGCGTTGTGATTGGCCGAATACCTCAAGCGTGTGACGGAAATGTTACGCCCCATACCATACTGTGATGCTGTGTCCCGGCGCGTCGAGACAAAACCAATAAAACCCATTATAAACGAGGCATTTGTTGCATCCAGTGGGGACATAATTACTGATTATAATGACTTATACTGTCTTTTTATGCGTTGCGTTGCATCGCGCTGCGTAAACATAAAACCATGTCTGCATTTGTAATCGGAGAAACGACAAACAACAAGCTCTACTCTATACTGCTCAAAACTCACGTTTGAATCATCAGTGGCAAATCCTTTAAATATGAAAACGTACTTACAGTCTGTGACTCAGCATTATTTGTCAGCATCATAGACTGTATAAGGTCAGCATGCGTGCCGAAGGGGAAACGGGAGAACTGAATTCACCGGAACACCGGCATTGTAGGCTACTCTCCCTCAGGAAACATCTGAATATTTGGTTTGAACTGTTCTGGAACAGTGTTGTAAATACAACTTAACCACCGATTTCTAGTTGTGTCCTCTTTTGGAAGACCAAACAAAGTAGTTTCGCTTTCACAATGAAACAAACAGCGTCTTCATGCCATGGCGACGGTGGCGGCAACAATACTACAGCGAGAATCAAAGTTACGCCTTCTTTCTTTGCATGAACATTTGGGTGGTGTTATGCAAATCTTCCCACATCGTGACGTAGACGTGGGGGCCTGTTTAAACGAGGCGTTTTAGGAGAGCGTGGACGAGTCTTAATTTTTATAAAGAATATCTTTTTGGGTTTGAGACTTTAGCCTTTGCAACTTTAGGGATCTTATCTATTCACGAACAACTTGTAACACTCCAAAGAGAAAGGAAAACTTGAAATCGCATCATATGACCCCTTTAATAGTAAAAATAATTAATGAATTAAATTTATATGACGTCAGAGACGCATGCATGTATTGTCTATTAAAAACGGCTCATCCAATCAGATATCAGAGCCAGAACCATTTGTTTTATAAAGAATATGTGAAGAACTGTACACTAAGGTCCTGCTTACTTTAGGTATTTTTAGCAATTTTACTGACAGCGCCTTCTGAAAATAGCATCAGAGGCAACCCATGAGATCTGAGTGTTCAGACACATCCTCATAGCGTCTGTGACCAGCAGGGGTCACTGTGTGAGCAGCCCATCACAGCCTGTTTACTGAGGCTGATGTAATGTCTTTCTGGGAAGGACCAGAGGGGGAGGACAGGTATAAGAAAACAAAAGTCAAAAATAGATGCAGCACGCAGAAAGAGACAAGATGTGAGGCCGAACTGGAAAAAGGAGTGAAATCAGTTTAGATTTTACATGCATTTTGATAAGATGCAAAATACATGTAATGCAATAGTATTTAGAAGCTAGATTTTGATGTTTGCGAGCGACGTTTGGTTATGCATGCAAGAGGTGGTTGCCAGGGTGCTTTAGTTGCTCACTAAAGTGAAAAGACTCTGCTGTGACATTCTGATACAATTTCAATACAAGTCAGTGGGTTTTTTCACCCGCTTTTATCTCAACCAGATGAAAATTGTGAGTGTAAATGCTTAGAAAAGGTAAAGCCACACATCTTGAGCCGTATATATGAAGCGGAGTGCAATACTAATTAAATCATTTTATTCCTACCATTATATCTTAAGATGTACAAAAAAATGGTAATGCACTAAAATGGAATTTTTACTGAAACACTGAAAGTGAAATTAAAGTTTTTCAAATAAAAACTGGTATTGTATAAACTGAGTTGTATATAAATTGCAAATGTTAAATGTTTAAAGCAGTTTTTATACCAACTTTTCAATAATCTATGAATTCGTCATCGAAATATAATGATTTAAATGGTGGCTGTAATAAAAACTAGTTTTCATGATAGATTTATTCAAACATACATTAATTAGTGAAGACAACAGGTTAAGTTTAAATATAAAATGTAATATAGTGCATATATTTATCAAAAAGCTCCTTTCAAGAGTTATTTTTTTCTGGCTTTCCTGAGGTAAATGTTACGTTATGTGACATTGTTTACAAACTGTTTTATTGACGTCATTCTTGCGTTGAAACGATTATAAGACATCAGACATTTGAGTAAGTTGTACTGTTTCTTTCAACACTTTCTGATGTTCACTCATGTTTATTTCGTGCTATAACTAGAAGTAAAGATGATCGGTTCACATGCCACTTGAACTGTCATTCCACATTTAAGAGTGTAGAAATTTGTAGTCAAATGGACAGAACTTGAATTAGTTTCATATCAAAAGTAACAAAGCACAAAGCTTATTGCGATTACATAACATGGGGAATTTTAGCACGCATGAACTTCAGAATAAATAATGTCAGGGCTTTTACATTTAAAAGGATACTTTGGCAGTAAAAGTGGAAATGTTTGAATGTGATATATTTAAAATTAGTGCCAGTCCACTGATCTGCGGTTTCATTTGTTTTTACATTGATCCTGCTTCAGTTTTTTATGGCACAACTTCTATTTGTGCAACAAAAATAGATAAACTATCTGGTCATATTGTGTTTGAAATGTCAGTTACTTCATATGAATCCATGCAGGGCTCTCAGTAACATTAAGCCGATTTCTCCTGCGGTTTTCTTTTCCAGCGCCCAGAGTAATGCCAATCTGTTCCTGCTGAGAAATGTTCCAACCTATGACACGCTCACGCAGATGCAGGGTCTGTTCACACGCAACCGGGCCAAACCCACACATGGATAAACAAACCCGGAGGCCTGAGAGGATGTCAGTCGAGGGGTTTAATGTCTCACCGTCTCCTCTGATAGTTTCTCCAGTTGTTGGATGTACGGGGTGATCAGAGAGTGAAGGTTCCTCAAGATCTCCTCCACCGGCAGCGCGGACAACAGAAAGCCCAGAGCCTGCATCAACCACATACACTGACTCGTCTAGAGAGAAAGAAAGAGAAAGGGATTGAAAAGAGGAACAGGTCTAACAGAATCCAATGCAGAATCCAAAGATAATGTGTTTATAAAAAAGCAATAAAACATTGTGCCGATACTAGTAAGATCTCTATATTTAATGGGTTAAATAATGTTCTTAGTCTTTCCTTCCTGTGAAAAGGATACAGTTTATTATTAACCACCAATTTCCAGAAAAAAATGTTTTATGCATAATGTGGGACTTTTAATTATAAGCAATTAATAATCACTATTCTGTAATCATTAGTCTGAATTGTGATCCTGTTTTTCATCCCCAAATTTGAGACCTCTTAAAATGATAATTCTGACTTTTCTTATAATATTTAAGATATTTAAGACTTGTTATTACCTTAAATTGGATCATACTGAGTTTAAAACTTTTTATGGACTCAATTTCAGACCAATCAGATTTGACTGCATAAGTTGAAACGTTATATCACAAAGGTGAGGTTCAGAGGCGGTTAAAATTAAAAACATATGTTTTTTTTTTGTTTTTTGCAATAATGTGCACTAATGAGTTGTGCAAAATAAGACCATGAACATGTATTAAGAGAGTAAATATGGTTGTCTTTTAGTTTCGTTTAGAATTTAACAGAAAGGAAAAGACAAATAATTTGACTTTTTTTGTGTGTAACACCTAATCAGGATACTATGCAAAGTGACTTAAATTGAAATTATTTCATAAACAAAATTATTAGCTACCATTTACAGCTCTACAAAACTGCCTTTGTCTGAGCAAAAACAAATGGGTTTATTCATAACACAAACTCACCTTATGGATCTGTTTAATAAGCACTTCCTGAAAAAAGAGAAAAAGACAGACTTTCATAGGTGAAAAACTGTGTAAATTTGTCCCATAAGTTTCAGTATCATCACTAGAGCGTGTAATACCTGTGAAACAGCGACTATATTGGTGGCATACGGGGGCAGGTCGTATTTGCACTCTCTGCAGATCTTCTTTAGCGTGGAGACGCTGGAAACAGACAGGTCTGGATTGCCCAACGCCTGCAAAACCAGCGGAAGAACGCTGCTCAACATCACCGGATGATCCGCCAACCACTCTGCCAACGCTCCTACAGGGAGAGACGTAATAGGGAAAATATCTGGGCTGGAACACAAAGCTGGGTATCTGCATGGTAAAGTAATTGTGTGTAATTGTCTGGTCTGGACTAAAGCATGTGAAAACAGCCTAAATTGCTTGAGATGATAAATGAAAAATTCCTAACACATAGAAATTAGTGTTTTTAATGATACAGGAGCACCAATATGCGAGCACACACCGATTGTGAACATGACCGTGTCGGCCAGCTGGATGTTGTTTATGTTGATTCTTGGAATGAGGCCGATGAGTCCTGGGATGACGTCAGAATAGTTCACGTCTATCGTTTCGGCAATGGACTGGAATCCGTACAACAGAGCTTCCGTATGCTGGGGAAAAAAAGAAGCAAAAAATCCTGTTAAAGAGCGCCCATGTAGGGCTGCACGATTTGGGTAAAAAAAAACTAATAGCATTTTTTCCTGATAAAAATTGCAAATGCAACTTAAAATTTATCATTTATATATTACTAATGTAATTATTTTTATTAAAATTAATATATCAATTTCAAATATATATATTAATTTATATTATTATATAATTAATATATAGAATTATAATTTTTGCCGTTTGTTTTTAGGGGCGCACAATTTGGAGATTATATG